CGGCAGAGAGAGAGAGAGAAAGAGGTGAAAAAAGAGAAGTTACAGTGATTATTTCTTTTACATAAAAGGATTTACAGATGCACATAAAATTAACATTAGAACATTTAAGTTACATTTTACATTTTAATTTATGAGTCGCTCCTTTAACTTGGTCAAAAAGGTATTCGTGTTATGAATGTTTTTGATATCAAATGGTAGTGTTTTCATCAGGCGTGCCCTTATTTTTGTATGTGATTTTTTTAACATGTCTTGAATTTACCTGTCTTGCTTAAATACCTGTCATGTCAGCTATGGTTAGGAGAAGTAAAAATTACTTAATATGGTTACCCTGAATAATTTTATGGATGAGTATGCAAGTATCACAATTACATATGTAATAGACTTTTTTGTTAAACCATTTTATCTTATTTAAGTGTGGGTTAATTATTTACATTGCCAAGTGCTACTCTCGCAGCAAAGTTTTGTTATTTATTACCTTACTGAAGTCCAACTTTCTTGGCAGAACCCCACATATTTGATAAATAATAATAATAAGAATCGTTTAATTTTTTTCTAAAGAAAGAGAGCGAGAGGACGAAGGAGAGGGACAGAGAGAGCGAAAGAGAGATTGAACAGAGAGAGAGAGAGAGTGGAGAAAGGGGACAAAGGAAGTGATAGAAGAACAGAGAGAGGAGAGAGAAAATAGAGTGAGTAAGTAGAGAGAAGCTGAAAACTAAAAGAAAATATACATACAGAAAAAGAAAGAAAAAAGAGGATTAGGAGCAAGAATAGTGAGGATAAAGAAATGGAAAGAGAAAAAAAAAATAGAAAGAGAGAGCTGGGGGTTGGGAGGGAAAGTGGAACATGGAAAAAAAAAAAAAAAAAAAAAAACATGAAGAGAATAGGGAAGGAAGAAAGAGAAAGGAGGGAAAGGAGATACGTAAATAGGAAAAGACAGGCAAGTGTGAGGAGGGGAGAGAGCGAGAGACAAAGCAGACGAATGAGAGATAAGCAAAGATAAGGAATACCAGGGACTTACTTCACTTTGTCCAGCGATATTCAGTGGATGACTTTATTAATTTCTCTATTTATCGGGTTTCTATCCTAAAATAAATCTTACACCTCTGTCTGTACTTTTATTTCCTCCAGTCTAACTTCATTTATCTATCCATTTTGTCCATCCTTATCATCATTTGTATCATTATTATTATGATCATCATCATTATTTTACTCTTTGCTGTGATTATTTATATTACTTAAATTTCTTTCACTTATCTTTCTTATATTTCTTTCACCTTTTCACTTTTTTCGATTTTATTCAACAAATGGTGTCCCTTTACTCTGGCCTTGTAGTTACCAGGAGTTTCTCTCGTTACTTATCAAACCTTAAATAAACACCAGCTTCCATTATCTCAGAAAAGGCCTTCTATAATAAATGCCTTTTCGAGTTAAAAATCCATGCTTTGATCATTTCGAAAAGTTCAGTCATTAAACCTATTTGACTCTTTCGTTCTATCTTCATCTTTGATTGATTATATTATCAGTAGTTAGTAGTAGTTATTAGCATTTTGTTATCATAAAAAAAAATTGTAATCGTCATTATCATTATCAGTATATATATATTGTTATGATTATTATTCTTATTGTCTTTTTATGATGTTTATGATATCATCATCACCATCACATCATCAATTTTCCTATTGATGTTATTATCATTAACTGTTATTATTATTATCACTACCATTATGACCATCACTAATAATACCATTGCCTTTGTCATTATTAGCACCAGCACAATGTAAATCATGAATTTAGACTTACTAGTGATACGTATTTAGTTCGGCCTTGTCATGGCATGTTGTTATTTACATATCAATACGAGCTTATTCAACCAAGGCTAAATTAATGCATAAGCACGAGTGTTTGTTTGTGTTTGCGTGTTTGTGTGTCCATTGCGAAGGAAATAAAGGTAAAGTTAGCCACCGTTAGCATAGATTATCCTGTTTGATAATCTCGGGGTAAAGAAATTTTTAAAAAATAATTGATTAATTAGATAATATAAATAAATAAGACCCATTGATGGTTTTATTCATGATTTTTTTTTTCTTCTTCTTCTTTCTCTCTTTTTTCTTTTCTTTTTGTGTGTGTGTGTTATAAATAGTAGGATTTTTATGTCTATTGTAATGGTGTTTGTCACTTATTAGGATAAGGATAAGATGCCGACACATGTTTAGCGAATAATTTAATGGATAAGTTGAATTTACTGCAGTTCCTAATGACGAAAATTAATCGTGACAGAACAGCGCCATTTTTAACATCGTTTTTTTCTTTCTTTCTTTCGTTCTTCTTCTACTGCTCCTACCCCTCCTCCTCCTACTCCTTCTCATTCTGCTTCACTTCCTTCTTTTTTATTTTCTTTTTTTTTTCTTATTCTTATTTGTATTTTTTTCATCTTTTTTCTTATTTTTATTTTTATTTTCTTCTTTTTCTTCTCTTTTATATCCTGAATCTTCTTCTTCTTTTCCTTCTCTCTTTTATCCTGGATCTTCTTCTTTTCCTTCTTCTTCTTCTTCTTCTCTTCCTCCTCCTCCTTCTCCTTCTCCTTTCCAATTATTCCACTTCAGTTCCCATTCCCGAAACCAATTCCTCCTCGACTCCACCTGTCTATTTAACTCTCCACCTCCTCCACCTCCTCCTCTGCCTATTCCACCTCCCCCTACCCCTTCCCCCCACCTCCCCCTCCACCACCTCCACCTCCAACCTCCACCTCCATCTCCTCTCAATCACACCACTTCCTCCTCGAACCCACCTGCCTATTTAACTCTCCAGGGACCTGCGCTTCGAGGCCCACCAACGTCCGGCCGAAGCCAAAAGATTCTGTGGCGGAGGAGATGCCATTATCGCACTCAGCTTGACAGGTGTCTTCCGTGGGTAGAGGGCACATTTGTAGCTTTCTGTGCTCGGTATTGTATTGTAATGTGGCGGGGTGAGGAGGGGGTGGTGGGAGGAGGGGGTGGAGGGAGGAGGGGGAAGTGGGAGGAGGGAGAAGGAGGAAAAGGGGGGAGGGAGGAGGGGGAAGTGGGAGGGGAGGGAGAAGGGGGGATGGAGGAGGGAGGAGGGGGAAGTGGGAGGGGGGAGGAGGGGGAAGTGGAGGGAAGGGAGGAGTGGAATGGAGGTGGAGGTGGGGGGGAAGTGGAGGGAAGGGAGGTGTGGGATGGAAGTGGGGGTGGGGGGGGGGTGTGGGAGGAGGGAGAAGGAGGAAAAGGGGGGAGGGAGGGTGGAGAGAGAAGGGGGGGAGGGAGAAGGAGGAAAAGGGGGGAGGGAGGGTGGAGAGAGAAGGGGGGAGGGAGGAGGGGGAAGTGGGAGGGGAGGGAGGAGGGGGAAGTTGGGGGGAGGGAGGAGGGGGAAGTGGGAAGGGGGAGGAGGGGGATGTGGAGGTAAGAGAGGTGTGGGATGGAGGTGGAGGTGGGGGGGAAGTGGAGGGAAGGGAGGTGTGGGAAGGAAGTGGGGGTGGGGGGTGGGGGTGAGGGGGAAAGTGGAGGGAAGGGAGGAGTGGGATGGCGGTGGGGGGGGGGGGGGGGGGTTGGTGAGGGGGGTGATGTGGAAGGGGAGGTAAAGGAGAAGGAGGGGGGGAGGGGGTAAGTGGAAAGATAGGGGGTTAAGAGGGGAGGAGGAGAAGGGGAAAGTGGAGATAAGGAAGAGGAGAAAAGTGGATATGGTGAGCGAAGGCAAAAGGGAGATGGGGGAAGTGGGGAGAAAGTGGTGATAGGGGAAGAAAGAAAGGGAAAGTGATAAGGAAGAGGGGAAAGTTCAGATTTGGAGGATTTGTATATATACATATGATAGGACACACACACAAACAAACAAACATACGCACACACACATATATATACATATACTGATTTTTATGTGTTTGTGTGTGAAAATGGAGATGTGTGTGTTTGTGTGTTTGCGTTTGTTTGTGTGTATGTATGTATGGCTATATGTGTGTATGCACGTGCGCAATCACACATGTATGGAGATGCCTACAGAAAATCAGTTCATAGATATGTGTGTGTTTACTTCCACGAAAATATGAATAAAAAGGGACAAAATCTCCAATTTAATTTGCATCAAACATGATTTTTTTTTCTTTGTCCTTTTTTCATTTTATTTTATTTTTTTCCCCTTTTTCTTTTCTTCTTTTCCTTCTGTTCTTTCTTCATGTTTTTCTCTTTTTCTTTTTCCCTTTTTTTCAGTATATTTTTCCTTTTTATTTTTTTTCCTTTCTTTTTTTCCATTTCTTTTCTATTCCTTATTCCTTATTTTTTTATTTTCCCCTTTTCTTTGGCTTTTTCTTTTCCATTTTCCCCAATCTTACTTTTCTTTTTCTTTTTCTTTCCTCTTTGATGTAAAACGTAAACAGAACAACTGAAGCAAATGTTGCAAATAGGGCGTGGTCATCATAGCATGATATTACGTCCTATTATGAAGTTATGTTGCAAGAAACGTTGCGAGTTTTTGTAAAGCAATGACGATTGCAAAGAATATATATATATATCACACAGGTACTGAAAATGAAACTGGAAGAAAGTAAGGTAAAGAAATGGACAATAATAATAAAAGAAAAGCGGAGAGAAAGAGGAATATAGATAAATAATTATGGTATAGATAAGACAGAAGATTAGATAGATTGATATGTAGCTAGATAGATAGAGCGATTATATGATAATAAGTAATAAAGATAATATGAAAAATAACAGTAGAATATGTATCGATAATAGTAGCAATATTAAATTGGTAATGATGAAAATTATGATACCGTACTTATAATGATAATGACAGTAATAATAATTATGATAATAATAACTATTGCTAATATTATTATTACAGGAAGAGAAGCAACAACAGAAACAGTAATGATAACAATAATAATAATAACAGTAACAGTAATATTAATAGTGACCTTGATGATGGTCATACTAACAACAGAACCTGCAACATTGCAAGCCATCCCTTACCAATCCCATTTCTCCCCACAGAGCAGAGCTACCAGGCAGCGGACAGCACGCCCACACCCACTACAGCTACGCCCACAAACAAGAACTTCGTACCTTGCAAAGTCTGCGGAGACAAAGCTTCAGGTTATCATTACGGAGTGACGTCATGCGAGGGATGCAAGGTACGCAGAATTGAATAGTTTTATTGTTAATCTTTTATAATCTATTATTTTTCTCGTGATTTTATTTATGGTATGTGTGTGGAGGGGGGAGGGGGGAGCATGCGCGCTAAAAAAGTACTATATTAACGCCATCCCTTAAGCAGTCATGAGTACTAACTCTTTGTCATCAGTATTGTATTAACTTGTTTCTCTCACTTTCTAAAAACAATTTATCAGTCTATATTGAATATATGCAAGAACATCTCCTTTCAATCTTCATATCTTCCAACAAATATCATACATTTCCCCTCTTTTCTTCTGGAATGACGATCTTATTACAATCAACTTGGAATCAAATGAAGGAAGACGAAATTTTAAATTCGTTAGCGGGCCAAAGTTTTGAGAGTAAGTTGGGCGGTTGGCACGGCGGGTGAATGGCAGGGCCGTCGCCAATGGCACTTGCTGAGGGACAGTCGTGACGGCTTGCCTGAGTTTCACTATTTCACAGTTACCTCGCCAGTCTGTTGTGGAAGGTGGATGTCGATTCTGTTTTTGTTCCTTGATTCTCTTGTTCTTGTCTTATATTTGGGTCTATTCTTGTTTTTGTCTTACTGTTTTAGTTTTTTTTTTTCATATTCTTACTGTCAATCTCGTTTTTTGTCTCGTGCTTGTTTTTTTATTGTTTTTTGTCGTATGCTTATGCTCGCTTTTCTTATTCTTGTTTTTTGTCTTATGCTTATTCTTTATTTTTGTTCTTTTCTGCTTCGTTTTCTACCTCTGATTTTCTTCCTGCTCTTGTTCTTTTCTTCTTGTTATTTTTTTTCCCTTATGTTATTATTATCATTACTGTTAGCAATACTATCACTACTTTCTCTTTTTCTCCCTTTCTTCACTTTTTTTTTCTTTTTCTTCCTCCTCTCCTTCGATTCCTTCTTCCTCTTCTTCCACTTTCCTCAGCCCTATCCTCATCCTCTTCGTCTCCCTATTCTTGGTCACCAATCTTCCTCTAAATACCTTCTCCCTATTGTTACGAATAAAATACTTTCCTGCTTAATCAGACAGACGTTTTAAAGGACACCATTATAACTTCGTAACAAGAAATATACTTTCCCACTTTTCCTTCTGCTACAGATACTGAGCTAATATTAGGTAATAACTTGGTTGATTGATTAAATATAATTTCGAAGTATATTGTTGCTTTTGTATCTTTATTTTTCTTTTCTTTTTCTTTTTTTACTTTTTGATTTATAATTTTCTGTTTATTCTTATTTTCATTCGTCTGTTCTTTATTCTTTCTGTTCATTTTTACTTCTATGTAATTATTTATTTTTTTATACTTAGTATATACGTACCTGTTATCATATTTTTTGATAACAGTTTATAATTTGTCGGACCAGTAACTGCCTATTGTTATATTGTTTGTATTTTTATTCATAATTTTCTTTTCTTATTCTCCCTCTCAACACCTTGCGTTCACCTGTTTGCCATTATTATTATTTAGTTTGGCCTCACTGGCATCTAGCACCGGCAGGCAAGTTAATCTATTATAGTGTTGATGACCTGTGTTACAAGCTCATTTAACTATTTCTTTATCATATCATGTAGTCTTATCAATCCCTTTTTCTTAAGCTAATAAGCATTTAGCTCCATATATCTTTAGACAAAAAAAAGTGTGAGAAATAGCTATTCTAACTGATGTCAAAGGTCAGAGACTCCTTAGGCAGAACCTGGGGCTTTTCTTAACCAATGTAGATTCGTACCTGGAAGCACCTGGCAATACACGTCACCGTTAAATTCCTCTTGCTTTATTTAATCTATCTGGGATTTTTTTTTTTTCTTTTTCACTTTGCTCTTCCATGCCGTCAAGATAAAAGATAAAGAGGATGACAGCTGTGAAATAACAGGATAGGAACTTTGTATTTATCTTCTTCCTTGTTTTAATGTATTCGTCGCCTTATGACTTTAGCTGTTAACGCGGCGGGTAATTTTAAACAATCAATCATACAATCTTCCATGTTATATTATTATGATTGTCGTTTTTGTTTATGTTTTTGTTATATTTATCATTTTTATTATTATCATTATCGTTATTATTATTATTATTATTATTATTATTATTATTATTATTACTATTATTATTATTATCATTATCATTATGATCATCATCATTTTGCCATCATTGTTATTATCATTATTAACTAAGTCATCATTATCATTGTTATCATTATTATTATCATTACTGTAATTATCACCATCACCATAATTAAATAAGTATTATCATGACTGCATAGATACTTTCGTACATTTAAGTATTAACAGTTATTCAATATTCCTTGTGCTGTGCCTGTATACGTAAGATGCGTGTATGAGGCTTTGTATTAACATATGTTTGTGAACATCCGGTATGGTAATGTTGAGATTCATTTTCAGTGTAGGTGTATATATGTATTTGTATGCAAATGTCTACGTAATTGTATGAGGTTCTGTTTTGATATGTGTTTATTTTCTGATAGCCTGTGAGGGTATTAGCATTCATTTTCATTTTGCGGTAATGCTTGTATTTGTATGCAAATTTGCAGTATACGTAACTGTACTGTATGTGAATCGATTTCAATCATCATGAGTTTATTTTAAATACATTGAGAGTATGAACACTCAATTTAAACTCTAAAACTTCTATTCACAATCTATATAATCACACGTTTAAGCACATATGATGAAGCCTGAGAAAAAATCCTGTTTTCTAAGAGGTTTCCATTCTTTCCACAGGGTTTCTTCAGGCGCAGCATCCAGAAACAGATCGAGTACAGATGTCTGCGGGACGGCAAGTGTTTGGTTATTAGACTCAACCGAAATAGATGTCAGTACTGTCGATTCAAGAAGTGTCTGGCCGTGGGCATGTCGAGAGATTGTGAGTAACTTGGCGGATTTTAAGATGTTGATGTTTTTTTGTTGTTGTTTTTTTTTTGGGGGAGTCATGGGAAAATGAGTGATGTCAGATAGTCATTCATTGCCTGATTTTTTTTTTTTTTTATTAGGGAAATGGCTGTAGGAAGATTTCTTCTCATTAATCACACAGTAATCCTCGTTAATAACTCACTATCTCCTGTTACTGATATATCTAACAAATGTACCTGAATCAGTTACTTTATACAGGCTAACTCATTCCCCCAACCACATATTAAAACAAAAATAACACGTAATCTCAAACCCCCAACATAACACAACATGACCCAACACATACTACCCCCTCGCATAACCACCTGTACACCTACCAAGGCCCTTTTTAACAGGCCATGTCCTTTCAGCTGTGCGATATGGGCGTGTCCCCAAGAGGTCCCGCGAACGAGAGGGCGATGGGCGTGGCGAAGGGTCGGAGATGGTGGCCAGGGAGGTCGAGAACAAACAGCTGGCCATCTATGACATTATTCTGACCATCTCGCAGGCACACCACGCCAACTGTGCCTACACGGAGGAGAAGACCAGAGCGCTCGCCAGGAAGCCTATTATTTTTGTGAGTGGTTGGGTGTTGTTGTTGTTGTCATTGGCATTAGTATTGTTAGTGGGGTTGTTATTATCCTCGTT